GGAGATCAAGACCATCCTGGCTAACACGGTGAAACCCCGTCTCCACTAAAAAATACAAAAAACTAGCCGGGCGAGGTGGCGGCGCCATAGTCCCAGCTACTCAGGAGGCTGAGGCAGGAGAATGGCGGGAACCCGGGAGGCGGAGCTTGTAGTGAACTGAGATCCAGCCACTGCACTCCAGCCTGGGCGACAGAGCGAGACTCCGTCTCAAAAAAAAAAAAGAGTTCTCAGTCCAGCTGAGAGCACAAAGCAGCTGAAATGTGCAGATGGGTGATGACTATAACGCGCTCTCTCTCTCTCTCTCTCTGGGTGAGTGAGGCAGGCAGGCAGGCAGGCAGGGCACCAACAGTGCTAGAGAGGTAAGTCGGAAACACTCAGTCTAGGCTCTCGTCCAGACTTCTTTCAAGGGTCTTTCTGTTTCTGGATTGATAAACAAAGTCAGAAGCCAGAGGGCTTGGCGGGTGGTTGTCTGGGCCACCCTTCTTGTGTTGTCCTGAGGTTTCTCTTGCCCTCTCCCTCCAATAATGCTGCCTCTCTCTGGTTCTCAGTTATGCCATCGGCACCGTACTGGGTCCTGGCCACCGACTATGAGAACTATGCCCTCGTGTATTCCTGTGTCAGCGTCATCAATCTTTTTCGTGTGGATTATGCTTGGATCTTGGCAAGAAACCGTCATCTCCCTTCAGAAACAGTGGACTTTCTAAAAAATATCCTGACTTCTAATAACATTGATGTCAAGAAAATGACGGTCACAGATCAGGAGAACTGCCCCGAGTTCTCGTAACCAGGCTCCACAGGGAGGCTGTGCCCACTCCACATTACATTTCCTGCTTTGCTTTCCCCCACCCCACCCACTCCTCATAAACACGAACCAATCAACCATGACAAACCTTCGCAAACACCAGAAGGGAGGGTTGACCACGGAAGACAGTGGTGAGGAGCTCAAGGGAGTTGGCCTGAACACATAGCCGTACCCTACCCTGTCACCCTGCTAGCCGCAAAATAAACTTGTTGCTGACCTGCTGTGCTCACGGTGATTGCAAGTTGGATTAATTATTGTGGGTTTTTCATTATAAGCTTATGCTTAGAAATCCTTAAACAGGCTGGTCGTGGTGGCTCATGCCTGTAATTCCAG